TGATGATGATGATGATGATGATGATGATGATGATGATGATGATGATGGGTATCGAAAGTTCGCCTCAAGTTTCATGAAGTTTTTTTTTTTTTTTTTTGTTTTTTGCTCGATTTTATTTATTTATTTATTTATATTTTTTTGTTGTTATTATTTTCGTTTTCAGATAATTCATAGAGTTCAAGCAACTGTGCTTATATGGATGGTGCAGGACTTTAGCCTCGTTTATTTGTTTTTTAATAATTTTCATTTTGATTGTTTTCTGTTTTGCTTTTTTCGTACATTTTGATTGTTTGCATTCTTTGACTGTGCGTTTTTGTTTTTTAGTTTTTTTTTTTTTTTTTTGTTTCTGCTTCTGCTTTAACGAACGCAGTTCAAAAGAGTTGAAGGCACTTTAAGTTTATTTACCTCAAACACAAAGATTGAAAATTGTAAAATTCAATAGATTAAATGAGAACTATGAAGGCATTCGGTTCAGATCATTATTTAATTTTAAATATATGGAAAAGAAACTTGACGAGATGAAATCTGAAAACCTTATCAATGGAGTGAGAATAAAATATGAATATTAAATACGTATGAAGAGTTAGAAGGCTTTGATTTCATTTAAAGGAATAGAAACAATTTGTTAATATTGATTTTTTCTTTTATATTCCATGATAAATGGACGAAAATGCAGATAGAAGCTGACTGATGATTCGACAGATGACACTAAGCAAATAGACGAGTAATGCGGCGAACAAACAGATGCGAAGTTCAACGGGTAGACAGATGCAGCAAGTTTAATACAAGGGACACAGGGACGAATGAACTATCCCGCTTATCAAAATGCCAGTGTGGACAGAGTATCGGAAGGACGAGGTTTCTAGGCGAGATCTGAATGTGATTGAATGATTTATTAAGCATCTGTCTACCCGGCAGGTGAGTGAGCCTTCGGCCGAATCGCTGCCACGCATATCTGGGTTTTACAAACTCCCAATTATGTACTTGATCAATACGCGCGTTAGAAATACTAATCCATATTTTCAAGATTCATTTTCGATATTTATCTACGATAGACTCCACGACGCTGTTCCTAACTTATTTTCGTTTTACTGTCTTCGTTCTTTTAAGAATCAATGGAAAAACAATTTGATTCTGTTAAATAATAGAATATAGCTTCGAATTTTCATTTTTGAATTCTTTTCCAACTCGACCTTGTATCGAGTAATTCGGAGCAAAGTGATAGAACACATGCATAGTTGAAAATAGAAAACGAGGAAGGTGTTCGTGATTCGACTGGTTCCATAAATTTCGCCCTTAGAAAGTAGGAAATCCGTACGCTTGTACTCGTAACCAAAGGGGAATTCGCACACCATTCCGTAAACAGTTGCGTATATAGCGTCCAAAAACGGGAATAAATGGCAAAATATAGGAACCAATACAGAAGCGACCAGTCACGGACAACAAAAGATGAATAGAGCATTACCTAAAGTTGAGTCCCTTAGTGAAAATTGTGAAATCTTGCCTTAAGCAAAGCTTTCCGAAAATTGCAATCGGGCTGTTAAACGGCTTTACTCGTGATAGAAACGTTTTACATAAAAAAGTAGCAAAAATATGTCAGAAAAGTAACAATCATTTAGGATCACGTCCAATAAAAGGATGCATCTAATGGTCAAATAATGTTTAATTAATTAATTATTAATTTACTTTTCCGCTTTTTTCTAATTAAATGGTAAGAAAACAACAAGTACATGGATGCGCCCAGGTAAGTCTCCAATAATTCGTAATCATAGAGTAAATCATAGCTTAATCAATCATACAGTAAATCTATAATAGATATCGAACATAACAAGAGTAAAAAGTGTTTTCAAGCTGAAGAATATCTGAATTAAGTAAAGAGAAGACACTTAGCTGTTAACCCTAATCGGATCATGCTATGATTTTTAGTCATGTTGAACTATTTTTTTTTTTGTTTTATTACTATTATTACTATTAGTAGTAATTGGGCCAGAGAAATAAAAGCTAAGACTAAACTCTCAAAGCACTAGCATCTTGGACTATGAGCTGTATTAAATACTTTACCGTACTTGAGATTTGAACCCACGACCATTCATTTTGAACATAAATTTTTTGATTACTCGATATTGTATTTTGAAAAACCTTTTGACTACTCAATCTTCAAAATTAACACTAAAAGAAAAAGGATTTTTAAATATAGACCTAGTCGGGATATCATAATGTTAATCCTTTTCGCAAAATGTTTATTAGTATATCAACATGTGAGTCACAGTCATATAGTTAGAAAAGAATTCCGTGCTGGACAAAATTTGGAACAGTGCATTTTCCATATCGAAACGAAGAACCATGAATTGAACTAAACTTTAAGTCGAACTTGCATATAATTTAAAATCAAAAATATGTACTTTATATTTGTATGTAACATGACGTTTTTGAATAAGCAAATGCAATTAAGCCATAAACAAGAATTATTCCCTTAACACTAATCATTGTATGATTCGGACGTAAGAACACGTAGCACACGGTTCGAGTTAAAAACTATTTTCGAAATTAAATATCACGTAACTGTTAAGAAAAAAAATTACAATTCTTTTGCTTAGTGCCAATACGAATAGATACAAAGTGACTTATGAAAAATAAGAAAATTTACATGATGTGAGGTACAAACAATCAGATCGCGTTCACTTCAGTGAAATAATGAAAATAAGCGATCATAAGTCGTTTCAAAGGCTAATTCAAAATCCATTTGAAGCGTTCTACGCAAGAATGAAAAGAATTATTTAGAATTTTCCTAGATATGGATGCTAAACATATAAAACAGCTATGCATTAAAAATCGTCATGTTTACATAGTCATTACTATATTTTATTAATATTTATTAATAAAATAAAGTTATAATAATAAAAATTTATTAACTGAAACATCACGCATTTTTTTTTTTTATTAAATTTTGTTAATGATGAACATCACCCTACCAGCAGTAACGGCAAACAAAAGAATTGCATTTTTTTTTTTTTTTATTTCAACCGTACATATATTTACAAACATAATAGATAAAATGAAATGCGTTTGTGTGCATGTTTGTATGATTGCATATATATATATATATATATGTATATAAGTATACATATGTGAACATAATAAGCTTAAATGTATATGAATGAGCGTTTTAAGTGTAGATGCCAACGATTTTCCGTGACTTAGGGCAATTGAACCCAATGTATTTACGCACCAAAAAATAAATAAATAAATAAGCAAAACACAAACACCAGCAACCAAAACAAAAAAGAAAAAAAAAAGAAAAAGACACATACACTTAACGCGTACAAAATGTATGTATATATACACATGGATACATACAAACACGCGCATACTTCTTGTCTCTTGTCTAGAATATTTGCACTTTAGGGGCATTTTTGTCGATAACAAAGTTTACAAAAAAAAAAAAAAAAAAATGGAAAAAATGAAAAAAGTAAAAACTTTGTTGAAAAGTGAAAAATTCATTGTTGTTTATCTAAAAAAGTACAAGTGATAAATGAAATATGTATGAATTGTGTACGCATATGCATGTGTATGCCATTTGTAGAATTTTTGTTATCAAATTGACTTAAACGTAGTGTACGTGTGTATTTGTTTGCATTTCGTTTCTCGTGTCTGAGCGATTGTGGCATAAGCAAAAATAAATAAAAAAATAAAATAAAAAAAAATAAATATTATTAATATTTATACACTTGAAATGTAAAGTTTCTTCGCGCGTTAGCTATTAAAATAATATAATAAAAAATAAAATTAAAAAAAATAAATAAAAAAATATAAAAAAAAGAAAGAAAGAAAGAAAACGGCGTTCTGTGTGACTCTGACTCTCACTCTTCTCAACGCGCGCAATTTGTGTTGCGATTAAATTCGAATGAAAAGTTGAATGCACTTTGCAGTCCATGCATCTTAAGAGGGTCTGAATTTTTTTTTTTTTTTTTTTTTCGCAGCCTTTTAATATTGTTGATTTAATGAAATGCTTATACACAAACCTATATACTTATTCACTCTTATATATATATGTAGATAGAGTGTGTGGTGTTGACTTTTTTTCTTTCTTTTTTTTTTTTTTTTTGTATATGTGTTATAACTCTCGTTATTTACTTGCGCGTTGCTGTTCGTTTGTTTTAATTTTCTTTCTGATTTCATAAGAAATTAAAAAAAAAAAAAAAAATCATTTGCAGGCCATTGCCTACCTCAACACAGATCGCAGTATGTTCTTAAGATTTATTTGTCATTTGGTTTTTGTCATTCGCTTTTTTTTCACTTTTACGTTTTAATGCAATTTTCAGGAAAGGAAAGGTGTGCTCTCGCCTCTAAATATTGTGTAAACTATGTGCAGAGACGCAAAAAAAAAAAAAAAAAAAAAAAAAAAAAAAAAAAAAAAACATTAGTTTTTTTTTTTAATTTTTTTTTTTTTTTTTATTTTTTTTATATGATTTCTCTTTTAAATATTTTTTAAACTATTTGCAAAAACAAAAAAAAAAAAAAAAAAAAAAAAAACCAACAACCACTTGACGCTTCGTTTATTTATTAAATTTTATTTTTAATTTTTATTTCTGTCAACGATATTTGCTTCATGATAATTCATTTTGAGTAATTTACAATTTGATTACTTACAAATTGTTGTTATATTATGTACGCAGCTATGGGGAGATATGCGTGTAACGACGTTCATCTAAACGTTTACACGAGACCCGTAAAGGTAAGAGTTATTAACAACAAACTTTTTTCTTTTTTTTTTTTTTTAAATTCGTTTACCAGGTTAAGGAAGTTTTTAATAAAAATTACATTAACAGTAGCAGTAAGAGAAAGAGATGATATGCAATGTTCGACTAACGGACAAGGGCTATCACTTCGTTTAAAGTAAATTTCATAACTTAAGCATAAGCTTAATAGGCAAAATTTATATTAATTATATAAAAAAATATATGAAATAATATTATAGTCGCATCTATTACAAACATTTTTAAGGCGTTAAGGACACTGTAAACTTTTCCGAAAATCAATCTTCATTTTTATTGATTTAAATGATCGCTTAATTAGTCAAGAATGATATAAGAAGACAATTGTGGGCATATGTGTGTGTGTGTGTATGCGTGTGTGTGTGGATCTTAGAAGCGTAATTATATGTCACCATATGAACGAGCACTTGAAACTTTAAATACATTTTTTTCGAAACACAATTTTTCAAACTCAATTGTTGTTTGGACAGTATCTTTGAAAGAAGAATCTGGGAAGATGTGTGTAGAGTCTTTTGATTATTCGAAAATTGAATTTGAACACTCGCCAATCATAAATATTTCTCTATATATAGAAAAGTATTTTAAAAAATTCTTAATTGGATAAATTGCGCTGCTTATCGCAAAGCCATCAAATTTCAACTCTCTCGGGCAGAGTATGCCCGGAAAGTGGCTCCGGTCTTTTCATTTTTTTTCAGAAGTAATTTCGTAGCTACCTTGTGGGACATCTAACATAATTGGAAATTCAGTACAATGAGAGAATTTCAAAAGCACTCTGTATAGCCATCTTCTTCTTCTTCTGCGAGTCAACAAATCAACAACAGATGATTATTGAATTGCGGAGGTATGAAGAGCTTACTAAACTCGACGGACCTGACGTCCGTCGGTGAGGCGTTGGAAACAATCTTAAAATTAGGATTTGTGAATTTTGACCAGACTGTAAAGGTTGAACTGAGAGAGAGAAGGAGAGAGGGGGAGAGAGAGAGAGAGAGAAGATTATGTGTGCGACGCCACAAATTTTTTGAAAATACACGACGGGGATCCACAAATCAGCTACACTTTTATAATTTTCTCCTGCTTTCTAAAGCGAAACAGACGTTTTCAAAGTAGCATATTCTGGCAGGGAGATAAACATTCCCTTGATTGATGTTTTCGCAAAAGTGCTTGGCTTTCGATTATGTAAAAGTTGAGGTATAATTTTGCAAAAGATAGTGTGTTTGTCACATTGCTGGTGGAAATCTTTTTCTCCATGTTCTCCAACGTTTACCTCACCTCCACCAATGCGTTTTTTAGAATCAGCCGAAATCACACAATACCAAGAAAAAGAACCACAACAGGAGCAAATTTATGTTACCAAAATTAAAGAGTTAGTCCTCTTTATCTTACAGTTGTGGTGTTTATTTTACAGTTGTGGTGGACTAGCGGTACTCTTTCAATTCAGAGACTTACTATTATGTAGGACCCATGAAAAGTGTTGCAAATCCTAGACTGATTAATCTTAAAAGAAAGGCGTTTAAGATCAAGGAGCATTTGTTTTAAAAGATTAGAAACCGGTAAGCCGAAGGTTGATAAGCCGATTCCTTCAACAACAACAGAGTTCAGGCGAGTGTTAGCGTTATCCTGCCTATGTTCCCCATGTGACATGGTTATAACCGATTAATAAGCAACTTTAAATAAAACTACTTCGTTCGTTGGACTCTTAATAATATATCTTATGCAAGAAAAATCTGATTGAGTTTTAAATATGTAACCAAATTATGATCAAGCTTGCATTAAATATTAAATGGATTCAAAATATGTTTCTTCTTTTCATTGAATGCAAAAAACACATAATAGCCTAAAAAGGTCCCTAATGTTTTCCCAGTCGATATATGCACATCAAAACAACTTTCATGATTATAAAAAAGTTAAAAAATTTTAAGAAATGTAATAAAAATAATAAAGAAACGAATCTTAGATGCCCTACATGTAATATAAGCCCAATAACCCGTAATTTTTCAGCTGTCAATGCAATTACTCTCTGTATTTGGCGGAACAACAAGGATGTGGTCTGTTAAAGTCTGAGGCCAGGATGAATAAAAACGTTGCTAGCAACAATTAATCAGTTTGAACGGTTCACTGTTCAAAAGAGGGTCAGAAGTTTAGAAAACGCAAAGAGCACTTTCCACCCATCTTTATTTTCAAAGCCCGTGTCGCGGCACGTTGAAAACACTTAACTGGGAAGTTAACTTGGTTTAAGCGGCTTATTCATCAGAGTCGAGATGTTCCGATTACCATTTGTTTGAATCAATCAGAGTTAGTCACCTGTTGGTTCGTACAAAGAGATAAAAAAATGAATCTGATGAATGATTCGCGGCAATAGGAGATGATTTTTGGAAGCGTGGCATCCGCAAATTGTCAGCCAGAATGGAAAAATGTATAGCTAGCAATGGGTAATATTTTGCATGAAATATTTTTTATCATTTTCATATAATAAACGGGTATTTTTTTTAGTAATGGCATATGTCCATGATTTGCAAACGAATAAAAATTTTTTAGTAAAATTGCAAACTATGACCTGTTGTGGGCTACTTTCGATATGTACATGTCTGGCTGTTTCAAATCGAATAGCAAATTGAGTACCTTAAACATCCTTTAGTTGTGCCTACGTGAATAATTTACATAAAAATTAATACATAAGCGTATACGCAATTGTGTATAATTTAACACATTTCGTACACAGAAAACTCGATGAGTGTCAACGCAATACGTAAATTTGTTAAACGTTAGATTTATGTGAATAGGTAAGTACGTGTATGTTCTTTATTTTCAGTACCTTTCAACATATGTGTAAACATATATATATATATATACATATGTACATATTATACACAAGAGCATACATATCAACCAGCTACGGAAGCGTCAAGTGGTTGTGTCGACTCGTCTCTATTGTTACTGCTTACATGCAGTCGTCAACAACTGTGCAACTGTGTATGGCTTCATTGCCAAACTCCCTGTCAACGAAAAAAAAAAAAAAGGTGAAACTTACTCTCTAAGAGAGACCCTCGACGCAACCTTATCACAGTCACCAGTTTTCTGCGCGCCCTACCAACGTCGAGCCATCATCACCTATTCATACGTTTTCTGCTGCTTGGCTTTTATGTCTGACTGTCTCCGTCTGAAGTAGCAAGTGGCATGCGGTATGCTTAACTCAGGCTCAGTAGCATTGCCAAGTGTAGTAACTGTGTTTCATTTCATTTTTTTTTTGCAATTTTTCTAGCTTTGACATTTCTTCTACACCCTCTCAAAAAAAGGGGGGGAAAAAAAAATACAAGAAAAAAAGAAGAAACGAAAAAAAGCATTGAGTACGTTTTCGTTTATTTTGTGCTTTGTACTTATGCTGTGTTACAAAATGTTTTGGAGGACATTAACCCGATTGAAAACTCACGAGCGCACATTCACATATATGTAGAAATGAAAGAAGACACGTCCGTACACACATATAATAATTCAGCTGCAAATAATTCTGTGAAAGTGTGCGGAAAACATTAGAATTTTTACGTTCGTACCATAAAGTGTATGCATATGTTTGAGCGTTTATGTAAGTATGTGTTCGTTCGAATGTATATATATATATATATATATATATATATATGTTTGTTTATTTTTTTGGACTGCTTATATTTACGAGTATGTCTCTTCTTCTTTTTCTTGTAGGTAAGTTGTCCCCCTCTCTTACACTTTCCTCTATTCCCATTGCTTTGTTGTCGGCATGTAGATACTTTTTAAATACCCTTTAAGCTCTATGGGGGATATTTTTATACAGATATGTATATATATCGCTTAGTATATATATATATATATGTATGTAATTATATGCTTCTCATTGAGTGTGGGTGTGCCTGCTTAAGTTTGTGTATTTTTCATATTCTTGGCTTTTCAGTTTAGTGTTTCAATACTTTTTTTTGTCACTTTTTTCGTACACGTACACACATCCAGTCATACACACATACCTACATATATAAAAATATCATAACAAGTACTATATTTCTTTATTATTTTCTTGTATTTTTTGGTTGTTTTGATCATTGTTTTTTCTTTTCACTTCACTTGAGTGGCTTATGCTGCATATATGGCTGCATTTGAAATCTTTGATATGTATGTATGTATCTATGTATGTATGTATGTATGTATGTATGTATGTATGTAGTAACCAACGCTCGATGACGTGTTTGAGTGACGAGAGATGTGTAATATTAATAAGACTAAAAAATAATTACGAGTTGAATGACATATTTTTTGAAGTATATTTTATTAAGCAAAGAAAGTAGTTACGCGGTATTCGGTAAAACTGTAGAGTAAAAGAAATTGTTTACCTTGCAATTAATAATGTAAAACATACAAGTTGACAAATTGCTGAAAAATATATTCTATAATTTAATTACAAAAAAAAAAAAAAAAAAAAATACTTTCAGGAGAATTTTGCATTTCACGCCTTCAGGCCAGACAACGATAAACATGAAAGTAGCTAAGCCTAAAAATAGTCAACAAATTTCTTCGAAATTTAGAATGAAATAAAACAGAGAAAGCGAGAGAGAGAGAGAGAGAGAGAGAGGGAGAGAGAATTTTTAAGAATGCAAATCGAAGCTTTATTCTCAGCAAAAAATCTTCTTGCTTTTAATGAGAAAAGCATAAGTGCGGAGGAAAACTATTGCCTCAACTAAATCTAAGCTCTAAATTATCTTAACCTCTTAGCCGTAAATCATATTTTTAAGCAAGATGCTGAATAAGCACTGTACGATACTTTCTGAAACAGAAGAGTGGTCTTCACATAATTGTTTACTTGAAAATCCTTCGAAATCTTTATTGTAATTCCTAAGCATATATAAAATTTAGGCCAGAGAGTATTCAGCAAAACTTTCTGAAGGAACAGCTTGTATGTGAATATAGTAGAACTTTCACTAGTAGTGATAATTCGAAACCTTCTTGAGCTTTTTGCAAATAAAATCTAGTGATTGTTTGGATTCATTGTGTTGGTAATGGGTACTAATAGCAGTAAATTTATCTGGAGAACAGGTAGTGTATGAAAATTGACGAAATTGCTAACGAAAAGTGCACAAATGATCGCGCAGCATATTAGTTTCACTTGTTGTTTACTTATTTCGATCTTTTCTATCTAAGTTGATTGAATGTCTAAGGAAACCTTTGATTATCATCCTGCTCATGATGAAAGATTTTGGGAAACTGAATGCAGTTTTCGTGAAATACGTTTATCAGATGAATATTTAAGTCGAGTATAAGAACGTCGACCATCGCCTGGCATTGGCATACATAAACGTGTTTACTAATTAAGTTAATGGCGATATTTTATTCAAACTCCTAGCAGAAAATATAAAATGTATTCACAGTTGAAATCCAAAGTACTTAACCACAGGAAACCATTACCTTTCGGCTGCCCCGAAGTTTTTATTATCAACCCCTTATATGTACATTGTATAGAACAATACATAATATAACGCATCACATATACAACATCAGCTTTTAAATCATTTTTTTTTTTTTTTTTTTTGTATAAGCATACAAAACATCTCTCAGGTGTTCGCATTAATTAAAATAAAACTTTTGCGGAAAAAGAAAACTTATCACATTCTTTACCGTTTATCGCCTAACTCTAAGAGCAATTTTACTAAATTTTGGAATTAATTTAACAAAAATGATAAGGAAAAGAACGTGAAAATAAATATTTTCATTTATTCATACAAAGCTGACGGATAAATCCACATAAAGAAGGATATTATTTAAAATCGATTTCTTTATTCACGCTGCTTAATGCGTGTACGCCTTCTGAGGTACAAGCTTTCGAAAATTCGAACATTGATGTGAAAGTAAAAAGTCGATATATCCCCATTTAAGTCTTGTTACTACTATTCAAATAGCAAACTAAAATAAGAAAATATTTATATAAATTTGAGTAAAATATATTGATGCGTATCACTCGCTCATACATCTATATATAAAAATGCAAAATATTTGACATCAAGACAGACGCCGAAGATGTGTTCGAAGAGTATATAATGTATCACATTTCGTCTTGCATGCATATCGTAATGCTTCGCAAATCACTCAGCTAAGAACAATACTTGGGTACTGCTTACAAAATCCGACGCCGTCTTAAGTAATTCTCTATCCAAACTTCCAGCTTCGAAAATCAAACTTCAACTTTTTAAATCCATAATTTACGGTAAAAAGGAAAAATTTTTGATTTTTATTGTGCTTACGGACGGAGCCATAGCCCTGTTTATCCTGGCATAGATTTTATTAACGTTTCTTTAACTTAAAGCTTTAGAAACTAAAAACTCTGACGTTTTATAACTTAAACTATTTTACTAAGAAGTGACTGTCAATGGCGATTTTTGAACTGAATATGATGATAACGTCAGTAACAATGACATGATAAGAGCAGTTTTCACTCCTGAACAAACCTTAGTCTAACAAGATGACAGATATTTCTACATTCATTACGGCGTACAGAAGTTTCTAGAGTGTTAAAAAATGGGCTCCCGAGGTTGAGGCCTCAACCACACCACGGTGCCCGACAGAAGATGTGAGTTGTGGGAAAGCGCCCCCAGAGAAAAACGTGTAAGTGCTTGTATCTGGTAAGAGCGTGACTCATATGAGACCTCTACATCTCTTTGGACTAAGCAGCTGATTGAAATGCAACTGTACACCAAGTAAACAAACAAGCTCTTCCCGCGATTCAAAGCAATCACCGTCATCACAAAATCCCTGCATTGCGTCGCTCTCTCTCTCTCTCTTTGGCTGTCAGGGTGAAGGTAGAAATTGCTTCGGAGGCTCTTGACACCCATGATACCAGAATGAATATAAAAAGAAGAAAATTCAGGAACGGAATACTCGGTATACATCTTAAGCAAGAACATATATAAATTTTACGAAGTCTTTCGCGAAAAAGCGAACAAACACTTATTATAAAAACATGTCGCTTTTATGCGCCCAAGGTCTAATTTTGTTAGCTCTTGCAGTGAACAGTACGCCCAAGGGCAGCTTTCAACAAAAAGAAAGAAAACAACTTCAAGATCAATAAGAAAAGAAATTAGATCCACCCAAGTAAAGCAATGAAGTTATTTTTCCAAACAATCTCATCATTTAGTTTAGCGATATATATTGCATAGGTGTTTTAAGCACTTCTAAAGAAATCATATCAATCACATTTTCTCAAGCTTAATAATGTCTTGTTAAATGAACAAACATAATACGTAAAGAGTGGACTGCTTTGACTGGAAATATATATATATATATATATGTAAAACTAAAACATAAACAAAGTCATTCCGGAAGTTGAGATTTCATCGACCTACAAATGCACCTAAAAATGTATATCAGATAATCTATTTAAGTGTACTTACAACGTAAATCTCATCATAGTTTATCAGTTGTGTGCATGTATTCTTGGACATTGTAGGAAATTTCCTTTAACCATGAATTGCACTTTCATGCCAATGGTGACACACATCCCGTTGACCCACTGACTTTGTGCTATTGTGCACAGAAAAGCAACACATGCAACAGCTACCAACCACATAATACACAACTAAACACGAGTAAAAAAAAAAAAATAATAATAAAAAAAAAAATAAATACCTTTACAGTAAATACGAGGCAGACACCATTAAATTAGATACAAATAAACAAGAAAATCCACATGTAACCAGGCAATTCACTTCCACATATATATATCCATATATATATATATATATATATATATACATGTAGTGTATATATATATATATATATATATATATATACCTATATATCAACTCGTTTGCTTAGGAAAATACTAAACAACAGTAGACCAACAGACTGACAGGCAAATAGACAAACATCCAAACATATAAATTGAACATTAGCTGGCATGCATCCCAACGGTGTAGCCATACGGCACATTAAATTGATCCCATCTAAGTACACCAAAAGAGTTTTCATTCAATACCAAAAACTCTTAGCATAATAGCGATTTGCATTAGAATAGAATTGGCAACGGTTGCGAAGAGCAAAGTGCAGGTTATTGCTAAAGTGTGTGCACCAAAATGCAGAGATAACCAACTGCAAGAGCACATACGATTTGGTATTTGGCTTGCACACAATGAAAAAAAAGAAGACGAAGAAGAAGAAGAAGAAGTAGAAGTAGAAGAAATTAACTTAACGCTACTGCCTCACTTTCTTCGCACATCGTTTGCTTTCAATGCCAATGTCACAATGAACAAAATGAAAATAATACTCTTCTCCGAGATGTACGTACGCACATCCCAACGCCACGAATTTTCTACATCGACATACATATGATTAATACACACATTTCGGGGTATTGAGTGAAAAACACCGACACACAAGCAGAGACATATAGCTAGCATATGCAAGCCAGATAAATGCCATTACCTAGCGATGGTGTTAAAACCATGGGTGGTGCGCTTTTGTGCGAGTTGCGTGTAAATTGCTGTGTTTTTGCCTATGATACAAATCAGTTGAAGCTGCTGAAGCACATGATGCCAAAAATAACAAAATTCATTACAATGCACACAAACAGTACACGCGGTAACAAATATAATAACAACAACAACAACAACGCTCATTCTCTCTTATACGGTTAACATGGAAAAGTGCAAATAACCGAATCGAAGGTCAACTGCATGACTGTCTGATGAAAATTTTCGGTCTGGCTGCTTGCCAAACTTGCAGTGATGCTGTTGATAATGATCAACAGGCACATAGCACGTACAAACGTATAAACAAATGTGAGCGACCAAAAGCCATTGAAAAGGCGAAAAATT